CAGAATTGCCACCCGCGCGACAGGTGGTGGGGCTATGCGCGGCCACGCGCACCTCTACCTACACGTAGAAACCCTGGGGCTCCGACCGTGGGTGCCAGCTGCCGCGGTGTGGCGCTAGGAGCCCGCGGACATGACGGCAGTGGTGCTAGCAGCCCTGGTGCTGGCAGTTCTACTGACCCACCGTGCGTCGTAGGACGGCGCGGGCGCGAGCGAGGTGGTGCTGCGCTTCCTCCGCCATCGCCTCAGGCGGCCTGAGTCGAGCCGGAGCGCGGCCGCGTGCGAGACTACCCGACTGGACCAGGTTTGACATCCACATAGGTCTCTAAAACTTGCGAAGCTTGATCCGACCCTTGTCGTGAAAGAACGACGCTGACTCCATCTACGGTGGTGCCGGGCCTCCGAAACGAAAATGCGCGCAATCCTATCTAGAGAGGGGCTAGATGTTGGACCACTAAACATGATAAAAAGGTGTAATTGACTCATGCCGTGAGTGCAGAGCTTGGGAGAAACCAGGAAGGACGGCCATGCCATCAATCAGCCCCGCACGCAAATTGAATGGGGAGTCGATTGCGGTTTGATGTATTGTAGAGAAGACGTGGCAGGCCATGTCATCGACCGATGCATTCGTTGGGCAGCTGGCCAACAGATAGCCGACAAAGCGATGCATGCCATCTTAGACACCTATCACCAGTGCTGGATGCAACGCGGCTCAGCTACTGTGATGTACTTCGATGGAGAAGGCGCCCTAAGTATTGACAGCGCCAAATTATCCTGAAGGCGAAAGGCACGGAACTTCATCCGTGCCCGAGGCCAGCGCGTTGCCACCATTGAGGCACGCAGCGGCATCTTCAGACATCCTACACGTCATGGAAGAATAACCCAGACGTCACAGCATCTTCTGGTGTTCTCAAGCCTGAGCCTACTGCACGAAGGCCTGTTTGTCTGTAGCTCGTTCACGTTCTATACCAGTGTATCGCCATGTCAGGCATTGTACGGCCGACGTCCAGCATGCCCCCCCTGATCTACCAGTGCTAGACCATCAGCAAAGGACGAAAACGTCACACCACAATCGGGAGCGAAGAATCAGGGAAGTAAACATCGAGGCTATCACACATGCCACGGCAGTAGCTAAGGCAACCGGGCCTTACACACTAAAGCCACAGCCGCAGGACGCCACTCCTACCACCCTGGTGATCTCGTTGACTACCACCGTCCGACCACTACAAAGGACGACTGGGGTGGATGGGGCGGTCCATGCCCCATCGCGCGCAATTGCCCTGACCGAGGTCAGGCCGTAGCCTGGGTCGGCGGTCGCGAAGTCCTTGTACAGTGCTCCGGTTTACGCCATACACTGAACTTGGAAGTGCTCATCGCCCGCGAGCTCGGTTCCGACGTAACGGCCACGCGCGCAGTGCTGGCCTTCGTCGCGAGCCTACCAGTGGAGAGACATGCTATGGTATTTGGCTACTTGCCGACCTAGCAGGGAATCCTGCGAATGGCGGCGGCGAGCAGACTCTCGCCTAAGGTGCAGTGAGTCCTTCAGTTTCTCATCAGAGATTACCTCCGAATAGAAGACGGAGTGGCGGCGCGCCTGGCGAAAAGCATCCGCCGAAAACCCGCAGCACCATGTGCTGACAGCTGTGCCTTGGTGTACTACGACAACGACGTTACACCGGGATTCTACTAGTGCGAATCTGAAGGCAAAGGTCTGCACATTCGCGACATCACTGTAACCTCAGATGCGCGTATCATCTAATGCCTCATGTCCTCCAAACCTCCTGGCAGGCTATGGCGAATACCAATCTAAGTTCGAGGAACTAGCGGACGCGCTTTCATCGGGCGGTAACGCTCGAGATGAAGGACACGCCGCAGTTCCAGCCGCGCTCGATGGAAGGCTTCTGACCGTTACCAAGAAATCCGGGATATATTTAGAAGCGCGCGTCATGGGGACATGGCGCTCGCGAGCGTGGCCAGAGAAGAGAAAGGGCACGTGCGTGAACTAAGCTGTAGTCCCGACAGTGCAGATGAGGCGTGCCCCGTTCCTCGTGACATTGAATGTGATGAGCAGGGCGACCTGGATTCGGACGTGCATGGTCAGTGTGTAGAGCTCTGCTGGCATGGCGAAAGCTGTCCTGTCTGGGCAACCGCGCAAACTACACGACGGCCAGCTAACCATTCGGCGCGTGTATGTGTCAGCCGCGTCCAGGAGAGCTGTGGTCGCCATGGGAGACGACCTCCGAACGAAGGCTGAGCTGGATGCAAACGTGGCCAAGATGTCCGAATCCTTGTGCACATAACTCAAGATGTGGTATGCTAATAGTTGCTTCAAGATGAATGAAATCACAAACGCCACTACTATCATGACATCGAGATATGTGTGCACATGGAAGTTCGTGACGAATGACAGCGGTCATGTGGGGCGTGGCCCCAGACAGCGTCTGGTCCTTCGCGGCTTCATGGAGGTCGGAGCCATTGATGTAGAGACCTTCTCGGGCACAGCTCGTCGAGCAAGTCGGAGACTGCTCGCAAGTGCGGCTGCGCGCGAGAAATTATTTGTCATCGCTTCCATGGACATCGACAGGGCTTTCCAGAAAGGTTTGACCTATCGCGAATTGGTTGCGGCTGCTGGGGGGAATGAACGCACGGTGTGCTTCGCTCGCGCGGTGCTGCGCGCGCCGCCAGGCTTCGCGTCGCATGGCGAGTCCAGGCGCTGCTCGCAGCGCCTGAAGCCGGGCACTGGCACCAAAGATGCCCCCAGGGCACTCCCGCTGAAGCTCGGATCCATCGCGAGAAGTTTAGGGCTCGAGCCTTCGCCCTATGACGAGGCGTTTGAGACGATCCCAAACGTTCTAACAGCCAAGCACGTGGACGACATTAGGATGGCAGGGGTCGAGGACGTAACAAATACATCAAGTGTGCAGGAAACGCGTTCGGCGCATGTAAACTCAGCAAACACAGTTACATTAAGCGTGCCGTGCACCTACGCCGAGACCGAGGACGGCCGCGTTCAGCTTGGTCCGGATGAAGAGGTCAAGCAACTTCGCCCGGTGCAACACCTAGAACTCACTGGTGCTGAAGCCGAAGAAAAAACGACGACTTCTGTATCTGACATGATCATCGGCCTGCGTGGTGCGGTAGCATATGCGCTGATCGCGCGAGTGTGGTCGATAGTATCTGCAGTCTCACTACAACATGTCCAACAACCGACTAACGTACATGTGGGATGCCTCAATGCCGCAGCGCGCAAACTGCAACAGGGTCCAATTAACATAACATATCAAATCATGGCCTCGTCCGGAGAAGTGGACCTACATGGCGACTCAGGTTATCGTCGCCTAAACGGCGAGGCCGATGACGAAGTTGAGGGGCACGGCGTCCGAGGGGCCAAGCTAGCTGCGCTGACACGCGCCTAACGGCAAGGCAGTAGTGACCTGAGCGAAGCGTGCTGCAAGTCGCACCGCCTGCAGGTACGTTCTTGCTATTCTGCTGAAGCCCCAGCAGCAGCCCGTAATTTGGAAAACTGTTGTCTCGCCATTGCGACGCTACACGAGCTCAAGGCTGGACCGTTTACGCCCACGCAAGTCGGTAATGTTTCAGAAGGCGGTGGTCTAAGCATAAACGCTATCCTCGCGATTGACACCGAATCGGCATTCAAGTCCCTACCGAGTAAGGACCTGAAGAAGCCAGTTGAATGTGCCCCGTTGTAACATATCAGCTGGTCGGACATGTGATGGACCAGGGAATCGTTCGCTGCGTGCAGGTGTGTTTATGCACGTGATATGACGGCTGACGGACATACGAAAGACTGTATTGATCGTGAATTACGACTCCAAGTCATGGAGCGAGCTTAAGCGGTATCCACCATAAAGGGGCAAGAAGGCATTATTTACACATCCTGGCCCTTCTTACGGCTAGTGGAAACTGCGCGTGCGCTGCTGAATGACAGCCTGCGCATTCTCGGACACGAGCATCTCATCAGTATCGCTCGGACACGGGCTCTCTTATTGCTTGCACCGCACGCTTTGGTGCCTGAATGTTTATTCAAGCATCCGCTTTAATTTGGGTTCGCCCCACAGCTCGAAGTAGTGGGTCAACCTTTCTTTTCAATCGTGGCTGGTCGTGTGGGTTGCCCATGACCGACCCTAATACGTTGCGGGCCGTGGTGATCTTTCCCGCGGATGGTTCTTCCTGCCTTGACCTCTACACTGTTTCGATTGTGCCATCCAAGAAGCGGTCGCTTTCTCTTAGTTTTTACCTTGTTCTCCAAATAGGCTTGCCCTATAGGAATCCTAGCTCAACCCCTACTAATTGCCCCAATTCTTATGCCCCCTAGTTCCTATGGCTATGGCTATGGCTATGCCTATGCCTTCCCCCGAACTCCTATGCCTACGCCTATGCCTATGCCTGCTTGCTTGCTTGCTTGTGCGCTTGCTTGCTTGCTTGCGCGCTTGCTTGCACGCTTGCTTGCTAGCTGAGTTGCAGATTCCAAGCATGTCTAATTCCTCTGATTCCTTGATTTGAGTTGTCTAATCTATTTGGAGTCAACGCTGGCTGATATTACTATGCGTATATATATACTGTATTACTTAATTGTGACGTGGCTCGACGCCCGGCTCCGCCCCTCTGGCTATTGAAGGGATGTTAAAGGGGCAGAAGTGAGCAGAGCGAGCGTTTAGCCGGCGTCCGCCGCTATCTGGCTCACGGTAGAGCTACCCTATTTGACAACCTCGCGTCATCCAGGTGCTATCGCACCTGAGCAACGGATAAAAGAGACGTCCACGTCTTTCGATGGTGCATCCTCTCATCTCATATACTGTTTCTGGCCTGCCGTCCTGCTTCAGTATGGGATAAGCTAAGGGGTACCGTGATACGTTCACGACGTCATCCTAATCAGCGGGGGTGGCTTACACCCTCCTGACCGTCGCTTTTCACTGGTTTCGGGCCTGGCGCGGGGAGGCATAAGGAGGCGAAACAACATACCACGTTCGATTGCCCAAAAGGGGTCGGTGGATTTGGATGGAGGCTTTGTTCTTTTCTCCGACTTGCACACGGCGAACCAGGAGTGGTTGAGTATATGCCCTCTCGGCGGGGACGTGTGTCTCGAGTCCAGTGAAGCTACTGTGGCCCCGGCTGTGGACGAGGGCCCGGGCATTACCGGCGCACGGATCGAGACGTGGGATCGCCACTTGACGGGGGAGACGTACACCTTGCTGGACTTTGACGAGACGTGCGCAGGCCAGGGCTACGAGGAGGTCAGTGACCAGACAACGTGCTTCGGAGCTGCGAAGAACAGCATCGAGGCCTCCGGCCAGACGGTGAGTGCGACTGTGCCTGTGTCGCAATCGTTCTCTTGCGGGTTGGCAAATGGTGCTTTGTTTTGGGGGGGCGGAGCAGCTGGCGCAGCGGCTGAGGACATGCGGTACGTATGCCAAGGGGAGCAACAGTCGTCTACGACACGCACGACGTCGTCCGCGACATCAACCATGACAACGCGCACCCTCGTCTATGACCCCACAGCCGTCTCTTACCCAGACAAATGCCAATTGTATTTTTTCCATATCGTCTCTGCTCCCACGAGAACTGAAAGAAGCGAGTTGTGCGACGAAGCGGCCAACACGATGCTCACACTGCCGCAAAACAGGAGCATTGCCAATCTCCTGAATGCGACTGAGACTGCTGAGCTTGGAGCATGCTACTTCAAATATGGGGGCGCCCTCAAGGCATTTTACGACATTGACTTGCAATTTGCGTATGAGAGGTGGCTTAACACCTGTGCTGCCCTCACCACATCCACAGAGTCTTCCACGGTGTCGTCCACCACGACTGCGACGGGGACCTCCAGCTCGACTCGGACCACGACGACCAGAACCTCTACCACGACTGCGTCTTCATCAACAACCAGAACTACGACCACCGAGAGCTCTAGCACGTCTGTGTCCACGACTACCGAGAGTTCCAGCACGACTGTGTCCACATCCACCGAGACTTCTAGCACGACAGTGTCCACGACCACCGATAGTTCTAGCACGACTGGCACCACGACGACCGAGACATCCAGCACAACCGCGTCCGCGACGACCTCGACGGAGACCTCCAGCACTACTGGAACCACGACGACCAGGACCTCTACTACCAGTATGTCCACGATCACCGACACTTCAACCGCGACAACAACGACTGTGTCCACAACCACCAGGAGTTCCAGCACGACTGGGACTACGACCACCAGAAGTTCTATTACAACTGTGTCTACGACGACCGATAGCTCTAGCACGACCAAGTCCACGACGACCGGGACCTCTAGCACGACTGTTACCACGACAACGGGGACCTCTAGTTCGAGTTCTACCACGACGGTGTCCACATCCACCGAGACTTCCAGCACGACGGTGTCTTCCAGCACCTCTGTGTCTTCTATCACTTTGACCTCCACCACTGGAAGCTCAACCACGACAAGCGCGACCACGACAAGCGCGACTACGAGAAGCGCGACCACGACAACCCCGACCCAATACGTTGTATTGGAAGCAGGCATGACGTGCACAGAAGCGGGCTACGATGAGGTTGACAGCGCGGCTGAGTGCTTCAACAACGCGACCGATTACTTGGGGCCAAATTTCACGTCAGAACTGGTAAACCAACTCATAGTTAATCAAGACTTCGCTTGCGTGGTCCAATATGGGGTACTGTTTTTCGGCAACGGAAACCCTGGCACTGCTTCGGCAGACAAGAAGTTCGTCTGCAAAGGTGAGCAAGCCCCTACATCGACCTCTACCGAGACGACCTCAAGCATGTCCCGCACAACAACAACCTTGCGGTTTGACCCTTATGCAGTCAGTGTACCAGACCTTTGCCAGACGTGGTACTTCCATATCGTCAACTCCTCTGGCCTCAACGTCTCTGCTGGCATTAATTATCGTCAAACGGCCTGCTTCACAGCGGCACAGACCATGACCACAGTTCAACCTCAGAGAGTGATCAGCCTCGAACCAGTCACAGATCTTGGAGGTTGTGTCTTCAGCTCCGGAGGTGATACCATCACTTTCTACGACGAGGAACCTGTCAAGGCGTACAGCGAATGGCTCGACATTTGCGAAGGCCTTACCACATCCACAGCGTCGTCCACATCGGGTAGTTCTAGCACGACTGGGACTACGGTCACAACGACCGCGACCTCTAGCACGACTGTGTCCACGACGACCGGAACCTCCAGCACGACTTGGACTACGACCACCGGGAGTTCTAGTACAACTGTGTCTACGACGACCGATAGCTCTAGCACGACCCGGTCCACGACGACAGCGACCTCTAGCACGACTGTGTCCACGACGACCGGAACCTCCAGCACGACTTGGACTACGACCACCGGGAGTTCTAGTACAACTGTGTCTACGACGACCGATAGCTCTAGCACGACTCGGTCCACGACGACTGGGACCTCTAGCACGACTGTTACCACGACAACGGGGACCTCTAGTTTGACTATGACTACGACGACTGGGACATCCAGCACCACTGGGACCACGTCGACCGAGACATCCAGCACGACTGTGTCAACAACGACTTTTTCCACAATGACTGTGTCTTCAACCACAGAAAGTTCCAGCACGACTGGGACTACGACCACGGAGACTTCCTCTAGCACGGCTTCGACAACCACCGGGAGCTCGAGCACGACAATCACTGAGAGCTCTACCACGAGTATGACCACGACAACCCCGACAAATTACGTCGTGTTGCCTGCAGGCCAGACATGCGCTGAGGCGGGATACCACCCGATCCCAGACTCTACAGGGTGCTTTGATAACGCTACTCGGTATTTGGGTCTGGACCCTTCGCCCGTTCTGGACAGTAGTGCAAATTTCGCATGCGTGCTCAAATTCGGCGGAACCGTGATCTTTTTTGGCAACGGGACGAAAGACACGGCTTCTTCAAGCTGGGAGAACGTTTGCCAGGGTGAGCAGCAGACCTCCTCGACCACCACGGCGACAACCTCGAGCACGTCCGCGACGACGACCTCCTTGCGATACGACCCCAGAAACGTCCTCTTCCCAGATGTCTGCCAGATGTGGTTCTACTACGTCGTCAACGGCAGTCGTAGGGGGGACAGAACCCCCACCCAGACACGTCGATTAGTGAATTATCCGTTTTCGGTTCTCGAGAGGGCGCCGCGCCCGTCATTTTCCAGGCTTGCGCCCGCCAGGTTTGGGCCCGAGGTCGTTTTCACTAAACCACGTTTTACTAAAGGGGGTTCTGTCCATCCCCGAGGCAGCTCGATTGCCGATCGACGGGCCCAGTGCTCGTACGTGGCCGACACGATGACCTCCATCAAGCGGTACAACATGTCGAGCACCACGAGCGCCACAGGACTTACGTCGGGCCCGTCCCTCTATAGGAGGAATGCCCAAAAGTAGTCCAAACATACGGTCAGTTAGGGAAAGATAGCGTGCATCTTCTACGGAATCGGTCCCCTTTGCAGAGGCACGCTAACCAGGTCAGTGTCCACATCAGCCGGACCATGCGCCATCATAAAGATTAGTGATAGGGTTAGCGTGCACGTGCGCACGTGCTTCTCATCGTGCTTCCAAAAAATGCGTACATGCACGCTTACCGTGGTTTGGGGACGTCTTGTATTCGTCGAGTGGGTTGAGCGAATCCATCCCTCCGATCCCCGTAAGACGCCCCTCCACTGGACCCCCTGGGAGCCTACGACAGCGGCGACAGTTTCGCAGATCGCAGCCCCCCAGGGACGGCGAGGCCTCGTCGGATCCCCGTAAGACGACCTTCCACTGGACCCCCCAGGAGCCCACGAACTCGGCGACAGTTTCGCAGATCGCAGCCCCCCAGGGTCGGCGAGGCCCTCTGGTGTGCAGATCCCTCTGGTGTCCCCACTGCGTGTGGTGTGCGTGGTGTGCTTCGTGTTCCTGGTGTGTCCAGTGCCCTTGTCCCTTCTTGGTCCCTCCCAGGGTCCTCTCCTGGATCCCCTGAGAATCATCGTCGTCGGCGTCGTCGTCCTGCCGCCGCCCGGCTCGCTGCCGCCTCTGGCCGCGAGGCTTGGCATTGTTTTAAGCGTTCGCGCGCGTTTGCGCCGCTTCCGTCTTTTCATGATCTTGGGGTTTTTCATGCTTTCCGTGCTTTCCGTGTTTTAGTCACCATTTTCATGATCATCACCATATGTCGATGGTAGTGATGGTGATGGTGATGGTGATGGTGATGGTGATGATGATGATGATGATGATGATGATGATGATGATGATGATGATGATGATGATGATGATGATGATGATGCTGAAAATGATGCTGATGATGCTGATGATGCTGATCATGAGACACGATGACGACGAGGTGCACGGCACGCTAACCGCGCACTACACCAATGTACGACGTACATGCGCACGTAACTGGGTCAGGAGGATGAAGAGGACGAGGACGACGAAGATGACAAGGACACCGCACATAAAAGGCATACGTACGTACGACGAAGATGAGAAAGAGAGAGAGGAAGAAATAGGAGGCGGGCGACGACGACGGGGCTTTTTGATAGTTCGTACGTATACGTATTGGGGTATGCTGCAGAGTCTTTCTGGGGTCTCTTGAAGACCTCGGGGTCTTCATGGGAGCCGTTTGAGGTTTCCTACGGAAGTCAAGGGCCAAATTTCATTCATAAAAGGCTTCCTGGTGCTCTCGGGGGGCCTCTCCGGGTGCCTCTCCGTGGCCTCCGGGGTTCTCGGATGTGTCCGATGGCCGCACGATGACGAGCACGCTAACCTTCATCTGCCTCCTCCCCCGCCTCCTCCTCCACATCCGCTGCCTCCCCCTCAACCTCCTTTTCCATCCTCTTCGTATTGACTCCCTCGACCTCGCTAGGAATCGAGGGTTTGCTTCAGACCATGCGCTTCGCACGTGCGCGTCGGTTTTCGTGGGAACGTTACTATGTTTTGCTTTTCGGCATTTTCAATTTTGTTCGCCGTTCGGCGTTTGGGGTTCTTCGGGGTTGTTTTCATGATTTGCCTTAAAAGGGGCGGAAGGAGTGTTTTTCTTTAGATGGGAGGAGGGGGGGGATAGGATGTCAGATGTGCCGCGAGCGCACCTAGCTTGGCTCCTCCCTTTCTCCCTCCTCTCCCCTTCTCCCTCTTGTTTCGCAGTTTCTCCTTGCTCTCTCCCTGACTAGGGAGTCGAGCGTGGGCCGTCCGCCCTTGGTGGCTTGTCCAGCCCCCCCTTTGGGGGGCGGTCTTCGTATTTCTCGATTCCCCCTTCCTCCTCCAGCCATGCTTACTCGAGCCAGCGCTCTGACAGCATGGCCAATATTTTGCGCCCCATGGGGTGTTCCCGGCGGGCCCTGGGCACGATGCCGGGGGTGCCGCTAAGCCATGTTCTGGCTCGGGCGACCCGAGCCTCGTGTGGCTGCCAGCTGGATGGTGACGTGGTGGAGCGCGTCGTGAACTATCTCTTCGGCGAGAAGGATAGAGAGAGGAAGAGAATATCAGCGAATGTCGATGGTAGTGATGATGATTAGGAGACACGATGCCCACGAGGTCCACGGCACGCTAACCAGGCACTACACCAATGTACGACGTACATACGCACGTACCGTAACTGGGTCAGAAGGATGAAGAGGACGAGGACGACGAAGATGACAAGGACACCGCACATAAAAGGCGTACGTGCGTACAACGAAAATGAGAGAGAGAGGAGGAAAGGGGAGGCGGGCGACGACGACGGGGCTTTTTGATAGTTCGTACGTATACGTACGTGTTGGGGTATGTTGCAGAGTCTTTCTGGAGGCTCTTGAAGGCCTCGGGGTCTTCTTGGGAGCCGTTTTAGGTTTCCTACCGACGTCAAGGGCCAAGTTGCATTCATAAAAGGCTTCCTGGTGCTCTCGGGGGGCCTCTCCGGGTGCCTCTCCGTGGCCTCCGGGGGTCTCGGATGTGTCCGATGGCCGCCCGATGACGAGCACGCTAACCTTCATCTGCCTCCTCCCCCGCCTCCTCCTCCACATCCGCTTCCTCCCCCTTTACCTCCTTTTCCATCCTCTTCGTATTTCTCGACCCCCCCTTCCTCCTCCATCCGCCATCCCCCGCCCCCATCCCCCATCCTCCCCCTCCTCCGCCGCCTCCTCGTCCATCCAAGGACTTTGTGATCCCCCCGCCCGCCAGGACACCCCTGTGTTGTGCCTGGAGCTCCTGGAGTGGTTCGCGATGGTTTCACGGGAGAAGACGGTGTCCAACCGAGAATCGCTGGGCCTCGTCTTCTTCAAGCGGTCGGCTTCAGGTTTCCCTCCCTCCCTCCTTTTTCCTTAGTTGAACCTGTTTTCCACCGCCGCCATAAGTTGGATCGGGAAAGGGGTCCTCCTCATCCTCTTCTTCCCCCTCCTCATCCTCCACCTCCTTCCCCCCTCCAACTTATAGTGGTAGTGGTGGAAACCAGGCCCATCGTCCTTCCTTCCTCCCTCTCGTCTCCCGAGGGCGACACGTCATGGCAGCCATCCTCGTCCCAGAGCAGTTTGGCGACTCCTCCTCCTGCGAGGACGTGAGCGACCAGATGGCAACGATCGCCACCATCCAGCGCTACGGTAGAGGGACTGCACGCTAACCCCGCCCATACCCAGTCGCCCGAGACATCCTCGGAGAACGACCCGACTCCTGAAGTCGTGCGTTCACCCCGAATCCCCATTGACGCACCACACGGTGTGGTCACCGCACCATTTTGGGATCCCCCGAATATTGTTACGTACGTACGCCCAAACAAATGACACCGGCGCGTACGTAATGTCCCTGCAGGTCTGGTCCAGCTCGGATGGGTACACACGCACCCCGGCTACGACGCCCAGCCTAGCAACCTCGACCTCCATACGCAGGGAACGATGCAAAGTGGGCTTCTGAAGCAAATCCCCCAACCACTCAGCTCGGAGATTCGATCTGAGGTCCGAGTGAGGGGGCCCGAACGGTCTTACTTCATCCCTGCGCGCGCGTGGCTGGATAGGGGGGTCGGCCTCTGGGGGCTACGTTTGGGGGCTACGTCTCGGGGTTACGTTTGGGGGCTACGTCTGGGGGCTACTTTTGGGGGCCACTTTTTGGGGCCACGTATGGGTGCGTCTGGAGGACGAGGGAGGAAGGAGGATGAGAATGAGGATGAGGATGAGGATGAGGATGAGGATGATGATGATGATGATGATGATGATGATGATGATGATGATGAGGAGGAGGAGGAGGAGGAGGAGGAGGATGAAACGTGTGCGGCGGGGCTGGCGCCGGTTAGGCTAACCTTTTGAGCCAAGGGGCCCGTGCGGGACGGTGAGTCGTTCCCCTCCTCCTTGTCCCCCCTGCCTCCTGCTTCCCCCCCCATCCTGTTCCTCCTCCTCCTCCTCCTCGTCCCCCTCCTCCTCCTCCTCTTCCTCGCCATCTCGTGGATTCCGCGGTGCGCGATGACAGAGTTGGATCGTGCACGCTAACTTGCTCGCGTCAACCCCAACAATGCGCACTGTTGTCGCTTCAAGTATCCCCACCAGCCCATCCAGAAATAATGCACACGAGAGGTATCGTTAAGTAGAGGGGTCGTGGGGGATCTCCTCCGCCTCGTGGGTAACCTACGCACCTAGTCGTTCGGCCCCTTCCCAGGTGAGTCGTTCGCCCCCCTCCTCCTTGCCCCCCATTCCCTCTCAGGTAATCTCGGCAACGGCGCCATCGGGGTGATCCTCGGGTTCAGGAACATCAAGGAGCGCCAGCTTGCCGACGACTTCGAGATGAGCTGCTGGAGGCTCACGAAGGACGAATCTCGTCAAACAACGTGCGCATGCACGGAAGATGGAGGATGGAGGAGGGAGGGCGGGGAGAGAAGTACGCACGTAGAGGATCGCGTCTTTTTTATGGCTGCTGAACACGGCACGGTTAGCGTGCATGCATAGCTTTGTTATGACGTGATATATGATGTGGAGGCTATACCATGCTATGCCACGTGCAATGCTACGCTTTGATTGTCAACGCCATGCTATGCCATATGCTATGCCATGCTGCAAGACGCGACTTTGCGAATAGAGAGGGGGTCTACGCCATGGCAAGGGATGGGCGGGAGGGGTAAGACATCAGATATGACGCTTGCGCACCTAGCTTGTCATGCTCCTCTCCAAAAGGACGCCGTGGTTGCCGCCAACTCCTGCCTTGCAAAGGGGCTCCACGAGAAGTGCCCGGCGAAGAGCGGCCTGAGGAACGTGCACTATGGACTGCGCCTCGGGGGAGGGGACCTGGAGACGGCGAGCAGCGAGTTGGGCCAGCTGATCTGCATGCATGGCAAGGCCGGAGCAGTCGCGGATTTCTTCGCATACGTCGGCTTCGAGGGGCGCACAACCCCCATCCACCTCTAACCCCTTC